GTAACAAACGGAGGGGAAACCCTGGCTTAGAGTTGTGTATGTATAATCCTCTCTATGCATAACACACCGATCCGGATGGGTACTTTATCGTCGTTAACGATCTACAAGGCGGCATATTTCGGCATAAGTGTGCTACGGGTGCATTATCACGAAAAGCTGTACAGCTTCGTAATCTTATCAGTTAATCGCGAATAAAGCACACGAGCTGAAGTAACAATGAAAAGGGAGAGGGGGGGGGGGGGAAGAAAAAACGACGAGGAGGAGGAGAGAAACGCCAAATAGAAATGTTACAAAGTATGTTGCTGCAATTAAGTGGATCCTCGGTGTTTTATGACATATTGAATGATACGCGACGAAGTTTGTTGATAAACCTAAGTATCCTCGTTTAATGTTAATGCGAGGAAAATTTTAAAACAAATTTTCGTGAGAATGATAGAATGGGGAGGTTGGTGAATCGACGACGATGGATTCCTACATTCGTCGCCGGTTTACTTTATCTCTTGCGATAACGAAGCCAGACCGGAGAGGTGGGCGCTTGCACGTGTGAATTCGCGATTACGTTACACATGTGCGTTACGCAGCCGGAGATCGATAATACGCACGACATGCGCTTAGAACGTGACGGGAATTCCTACCAAAAAAAAGAAAAAGAAAAAAAAGAAAAAAAAATTGCTAGCGAGAACGACTCTACACGCGAGACACAAAACAGTATTACACGTTGATCTGATACAGCCCTTCGTATATTGTATACATATATATAAATGTATATCATGTATATACGGATGGCCGTAACGGAAGACGATAAGAGGTTCTTCGTTGGAAACAAACGTTGATTACGCGCCTAAGATTTCCTTTTTTCTTAACAGTACTTAGTACACACATCGTTTCCTGAAACATCGAACAGGATGTTTCTCAACTAGAAGTACAAACTCGTCCGTTTGATGAAGGTCGTTCGAAGAAACGCGATAGCCTTACTAAACCTAGACGAATGAACTCTAAACGTTGTTGATATATATACGAGAAGAAAAGAATTAATAATTTACTATGCTTATTGCGACATTTTCGTTTTTGTCTTCTTTTTCTCTCTCTCTCTCTCTCTCTCTCTCTTTCTCTCTGTTTTCAGTGACCTTTGATTAACCTGTCGAGTTTCTACGAATAATTCAACAATGGATATAGCCTGTATATATACCGTTTGCCGTATTTTTCTGGCAAGCCTATAGCATTCCTTTTTTGGAACACCACTCTTGAAACAACGTCGCTGTGATTTACCAATATTTACAAAGAAATAAAGAAAGAAAGACAAAACCCGCGCAACGATAGAGAAAGTGGGAAATGTAGAAACCTGTTTTGCCTGCGGAGCGTATCAATTCGAATGTGTGAATACGTAGTATCGAGGCGCAGGCGCTGCGCTACGTAAAACTATCATCACCATCTGTCGATTCGTTTGGAACTTACGGACTTGCTCTTCTTTTTAATGGCGCCCATTTCACTTAAAAAAAAAAAAGAAAAAGAAACAAAAGAATACTTAATATATGTATACATTACGATCGTCACCTTTTTTTCTACGATCTTTTTGGTCACGTTTAATGTCCCCGCTGATGTGCAGATACGTTTTCTCTTTTTCTACGATACATCTTTATACCGAATCGCGTATTCCCTGTACACCAATGGCCTACTTGATGAGAATCATTAACCAAAAACGCACAATCGTACTTTTTTACAGGTTTATGAACAGTCGTCAGTATGCTGCGGATATTCTATCGCTGACTAATTGAACGTACTTTTTATTAGATGTGATAGTCGTAATCAGTGGACCAGATTGTACGTCCAGCGTATCTTAAAAAAAGTCTCGGGTGGATGTTCGATAAAAACCACAGGGAATTTAGGGAAGTAATTTCGGTTGATTTTTATCGAACTTCAGCTTGTCCGTAAATTGTTAGGAAAGTAAAATATATGTGTATATATATATATACATATAAGTAGATATATTACAGTACAGATGTAACCAAATTCTCGATGATTGTGGATTACTACCAGAAAGAAAAATGAGCTTACTGATTAATCGTTTAAAGCATATTGTATCGTGTGCTAGTTTCATTTAGGAAAATTCTTCAGAAAGATAAATATGTATGCGTCGAGATTTTTGGTTTGACAAGTGCCTTTCTTTTTTGTCGACTGTTTGATCATCTCTTTTGTAATATAAGTGTGCATGAATGTGCGAGCAGAGTAAAGTTACGCCAGTACACACGGATATACTTTGTATCGTACTATGCAGCATACTTGTATTTCTCAATTATACATGTATGTATACATACATATACACCTACACTATATGCGTATACGTACCATTGTAAAATTTCATAAAATGTTTCTAATAAAATCGTATTTTTGGAAACCACAAAGAATTTTCTCATTTGTATCTCTTGATCGATAACGAGAGATAAAACAGGAATGAAAATTGAAATTATTACTCACCGGTCGGAATATCGTCTGGATTGATAGGTCTACGATGGATATGGGTCAATTTTGGATAAGGTTGGATAATCATTGTGTTTTCTGAAACAAAATTTCGACATTCTTATTGCACATGTCCTGCATGCATCGTATCGATATTCCTCTCTTGAAATGCATACATGTTATTGCAAGTATTTCTTAATTATCTTGCAATTACTCACTTCTAATTGGCATTTCTGATGTTATTTGCATCCTTATTATAATAATCACTAATTAAAACACAATTTATTGCACACTTTCCGAGGAACTGTTAACACCGACGCGAATAAAAAAATGACTGACGAAGTTTCAGAGGTATTATGAATAGTGGACGCTGATTGGTCAACGTTAATTTTACGCGCGCAAATAATTATATTTATCGATAACTTATAAATCGTTATGATAAATCTTATTAGTCTATAAAAAATTCCACAAATTTATAAAATATTTTTAAAAATATTTATTAAAACAATCTTTGGAGCAATAATGAGATATTCGAGAAATTAAAAGAACTGAAATGAGATTCGAGATGGTATATACTTCAACTGACCTATATCGATATCATGCGATATTTATGGCAGTAAAAGGAGGAATTCAAATTCAAATTGTTTGAAAGTATACGACAATTGGCTTTATTTCGACGCGAATTCGTCAATTAACGAATGAAAATTAAATATGAGATTTAATTACATGAGTTTCGTAAATGTACGCAAACGTACATAGGATTATAGAGTTGACATTTAACGATAAAATGTAGCCAGGCAAAAGTATCGCAACGTAAGTAAAGTTATACTTTTTTACGACTTTTTGCTGCAGTATTGCTTATTAATTCTGTCAATCCCGATCTGTTGGAGTATTATGCATAATCGACGTGGTGCGTTTCGTCAAAGAATATCAGGGATTTTTTTTAATAATTTAAGAGAAAAAAAACAAAGTACAAAAAGATTAAACTACACGCTCAACACGGGACTAGAAATATTTTCAAGTTTCGTTTATTGACAGACATATGAAGCAATCGACTATTCAATCATTCGCATATAAAATATATTCTCTAATACTAGTAAGATTAGCGTATTAAATCTATCGGCGATTAAAACAACTTTTTTCTTTTATACTTTTTTTTTTTTCAACGATTTCCTTTACGCGGGAAACCATAAGAAAAACTCACGATCGGGGGAGATTTCATGGAATAAGAAGTACATCTGTGCGTGCGTAGAAGAGTACCAAATGAAACGCGTTAACAGAATTAATAGTCATGTCTGCGGTGCAAAAGTTTATCCTATTTTCATTTGGTCGCACTCACGAACGAATATCGTACAAAGCGAAGAATCGGGCACAAATTGGCGTGCAATAATGATAATACCAAATATCGAAACAGACCCTCCTTTTACACAGTCGAAACAGGAAAGAATTCTTACAATTTCCTTTCCTTAAAACGCCAATCCAATTATCGACACAATGTGGTTCCATACAGAAGAGCATATATTCTTTTTACATCGCAACGATTTCACACGACAAACATGCCTGTGCTTCGTCGTTTTCGTTTAATCGTTTGCAACGATTAAAGTATACCTCACTTTGTAACATGTACAAAGTTGAGACGCGTTTTTTTTTTTTCATTTTTTCAATTACAAGGAATCATGCTTGCTCCTGCGTTTCTGTTTCTCCTTTCCATCACAATAAACGAAAAGCAAAAGTATATACTGCCGATGTAATGAACGATTCATACGCATGTAATAATGCAAATAGAGTGTGTGGCAAGGTTCTCGATAATATGCCATAATATATTCATACCTACGTATCATACACGCATTAGTAAATATAATATAAATCCTGTTGTCAATAATAATGCTCAAAAACTTAACAAAACAAGCTTTCCTCATTTTTTTTTCTTCTTCGTTATAAACGATCGCGACACTACACAGAGTCCAGCAGTGCCAAGGTCCACATTTTCTCAGCACGACCAACGCTGCAGGCAGTGACGGTGAGCTACCTAATCCATATTTTAATATTACATTAGGTTCTATATTATTTAATAATATGTATATATATACACGATCCGCACACACCAGGTCAAAACTCTAAATCGTTTGCTTTTCTTTAAATAAGATGACAATGACGTACGAATTACGAAAATAATATCAATGAACGTAACGTTGAAAGGTTTATGTTGAACAAATTACTATAATCACACTAAATCCTACGTATCTCCTTTCCCCCTTTTCTTCACTCGAGAATCCCATCCAAGGGGATATTGGTAAAACATCGTAGCGATTCTCTTCATGAACGAAAATAACTATTCATCTTGCCTGTAATCAAACAGCAATCGGTGAAAACGATTCGCGTCCATACAATTCGTGATATTTTTCTTTCGACACCGCAATTTATGAAAATAGACGTGATACACTCTTAGACAATGTCGGATGATACATGTGTCAATCCACGAAGGACTTGAGTTCTTCGCATTCTACGACAAAGTAGCAAAATGAACACGAAGAAGGTAGCAGATAATCTGATTTTTTTTCTTTTTTAGCTGCATCGTAATAACGAATGAGAAACTTTTATGTTAAAGTTCGATCACTGTCCATTTTTACGCAACATCGGCAAGGAGCTCTCTAACTATTTGCAGATTACAATCGCTACAACGATAGCTTTTCCTTTTTTTTTTGTTTTTTTACAAGACGATAAAAGACGATCCCTGAACAAATCTCGTCCTGACGACGCCAAAGGCACCAAGTAAAAGAAATAGCCTGACACTAGAAATGTTCATATCCAATTGCTTTTATGGCATACACCAACTGATACCATTTTTTTTCCCCTTTCCTTTTTCTTTTTGGCACTGTTTGGCCACCTATTAGAATTGTAACACATGTTTTATCGTATGAAGTCAGGTGAGACATCTGCGTCTTTAATCTCTAGAACATTTATGCGTGAACTTAATTTATGCGTAATACTCGTCTTGAAAAGAAGAACATGGTCAAATTTTGTACGTAACATATTTTTTCCTTTTCCATTTTTTTGTAATACTTCGATGATTCTCACTTTGAAATGCGATCAAGAAAATTATTCTGCTATTTCCAACCTACTAGTAAGAAAAGACGACGGGTGATCTCTCTATATATTTATACATAATTTTATATCCTTATATAGTAAAACAGAAACGACAATGGCACAGAATGTTACTAAACTTCGTTATGTTAGCTTTGATTTAGCATTCGTTTAATTATTGGCAACGTGACGAATAATTTAAATATTAACGTTAGTTTCGAATATCGTTTCCCTAATCATTCCTAGTCTAGTGTTTTTTTTTTTGTTTGCTGATTTCGTCGCATGTAATCTCTCATTCACTCTTTCGCATTCTCTCTATCTCGGTTTCTCTCGTAGACTCTCTGTGTTTCAAGTATTTATCTCTTGTTATTCATTCTCGAGAAAACTTCCGGACTATTTCGTCTGCATTTCTTGGGTCATTGTGCGTCCTTGGAAATCTGACTAGCACACGAATTTCGAACAAATAAATTAATGCTTTCTTTTTAGACATTTCGATATCTACGTGTACAAAGAACTCCCATGACAATCGTATTATGCGTACATTTAATATCATTGACAAATACGATACCCTCGCGAGCGAGCCCCCTTCTCGTTAATGCTGAAATGCGAAAAAAATATTTCTTATGAAATTTATTCATTTTCACTGATCGTACAAAACCGATACCAAAACATATCGACCATTCTCATTTTTTAATTTCAATCGTCTTTCTTTCTTTTTTTTTTTTCTGTTTTTTCTCTCTCGAAAAACCGCCATGATACCTTTGTGTCTTTACTTTCCTCATAACTTATTCATTGCAAAGTGCACAGCAATCTATTGCCACGTGCGAAGACTATTTAGCGATGTTTGTAAATCGGCGAACAAGCATATAACGTATTTTATACAATGTTTCTCGGTATCGGTATAATTGGCATTCACGTACATTCCGCTTACAAAGTATATACGAGTCTCTCGGCAGTGATGTCGCACTGTCCCCTCATACGTTCACTCAAAAATTCGGACCGACATTTAAGTAATGAGAATCACATTCCTTTTCGAAGCATTGCAATCAACTCTAAGAGACGCACAACAATACACTGAAATACCTAAATATATACAAATATTCCTTAACGAGTAGCGAACAAAATTTAAAGTATATAAAATCACAAAATGAACAAAGAGGCACGAGACTGTCCTTTTTCGCGAGCTTCGTAAGATGCGGAGGAAAGTTTTTTTTTAAAGCTTCTCTTCATCTTTTTTTTTTTTTAATATATATATATATAAGAAACAACGCTGCAACTTAATACCAAGATGTAACATATGAGTAAAAAATACACATTATTATGACTGGAAAAATCTTATATCTAAAACGATTCTCGATAATCATCCCTGCATCAATTAGTTGAATAATAAAATTGTTTCTACGTAATACATGCATTGATACTTATTAATTGGCGCTAAAAAACTCTGGAACTCTTATGTTGCAACAGGTATAAATTTTTTTGGCAAACAAAACAATATGCATAAATAACTTGCATACTACCTGTTTTTTTCTTTGTGCAACATCACTGTCAGGAGTTCAGGTATGTCGCACACACCTTGCCGTGAAATCGTACAGATCAGTCTATCATATTGAAAAAACTTCGGTTTGTATCGTTTACTGCTCGATGGTAGTCGTCACGGATTGGACTTACTGAGGAAGCTAACCAGCATTCTTTCATGCCTTGCACTCAGGCGAGCAAATCTCTTAAGTATCGCGATCCTAAGAGTCGCGGAATTTGATGTTAGTTAATTTTTGCTATTGCTACGTGGACTTGCTGGCTGACTGTTTGCCTGTTGCGCGCGTTGTATGTAAATGTTCAATAGCTTCAGTTTGCTGGTATATAAACAGCTGAGATGAGGCTTCAACACCTCTTCACCAACTGCCAAATGTATTGCTACCATACAAAACACAGCACTTTTGCGCACCGCGCTTTCGTTATCGTCGTATGCCTATTGAGAACCATTAACACGATCTTAAAGTATAACGAAAAAAAAAATATAATAGAATGTTTAAGAAACACATTCCAACTTACTTTGATGAGACCGGGCATAACTTTCGATAAATGTGGTTCTATTGCATCGCGACCCCAATGCTCCACAACTTTATGAAGCATTTTTATCGCGCCCATATTTAAGGGATAGGGTTCGGTAGTTATTATAGTCGATACCAAGTGAATTACTTGTTCTGGTTTTAAAATCATCGCTATTGTTGCAGCGCATTTCTCGGCCATCCAAAGAACCTATTGATAAAAGGAATAAATTCAAAATGTTTTATAGTTCTCGGAATTAACTGATACACTTACCGGGGATCTCGAATTGCTGCTGCTGGAAGCATCTGGTTTCTGATCGTCTAACTTGTACGCGTTAATAACTTTTAGTACCAGCAATTCAGGATAAACGGAAAAACTGTCTACAAGTTCCGGGCACTTAAGCATATCAATTAGTGTTTGAAGAACTTCTACTTGCATTTTCTTGCTATCATTAGTCAAACTATCTAACAATGTTTTGAGCAGTTTTCTAAAGAAAATGAAGAACAATAATGGGAGTTTTGATAATGATAATTAAAATATGTATAAATAATGCAATACATACTTAAAATTCTGTTTAATATACAAGGCATCTCCTTCTCGAACGTATAACTGAAATTCTTGTAGAGCTGATACTTTTTCTTCTGTCTGCGTCATTTTGGACTGCAACGTTTTAATCATATTATCTAGAATCTCTGGCCTCTTGATCGAATCTGGTGATGATCCTACGATAAATATTTAACGAAGTAGATCAACCCTTATCTAAGTTGAAGAAAAAGTAACTTTCTCCTGAACAATGGTACACATACCATGCGTTTTGTAACCATTGTTTTCTTGAGGTAGGATGAGATCTCCCGCCATCGTATCGCTTGAACCATTTACTGTAATATTAGTAACAGATCGGCCTCTTTGCGTAGGCGAAGAAACAGAAGACGATCGTCCCTGATTAAGACAAACCACAATATGCTACTATATCTCAAATGAAGTGTATCGTTGCGACATTAGAAATAGAATTTATATTGTTTAGTCAATTACCGAATTGCACAATGTAAGCCCCTCCATTTTCTCCTCTACATCAGCCATATTACTGATTCCACTATCTTTACTGGTAGTGGCTCTTTCTAAACGTTCGAAACCATAATTTTGTATTTCTGCTGTCGTGCGTCTTAAAGATCTGTAGGAAGTACTTGAAAATTAAAATGACTAAGAATTACAAATTATAGGATTATCGAGGCAGAAATGTACCAACAACTTACTTGTAAACTTCTTCCAAGTTTTCATCCGCCGTATCCATATCACCTTTACCTTTCGAACGAGCTGGTGAGCTCTGCGCCCTAGGAGGCGGAGTTCCAGGGGACGCAGGATTACTTGAACCTGATGATTTTCTTAAATGGTTCTGAACTAATGGCAGTGCCGCCTCCTACAGTACCCAGATACATATGATAAAAAGAATATGATTCATTTGTAAAAGCTGCCGGTATAAATATATCGTCTTACTTGATAATATTTCGGTAATTCAGCTAATATCATAGTCACTTTCGGAGGATTTAAGTTGTACAAAGATATGACAGCATTTTGTGCATGCCTTCGAACATCTTGACTTTTCACATCGTTCGACCAATCGAGTAACCTCGCCAACGCTGTTCCTGCGGAATTAACAAGCGCAGACGGTTCTGCCGTTTCTGCGATTTGTGTGATAAATATAAGTGTGGTTATTTTCACGCGAGAATTTGGCGTTTGTGTTGGATCCGTCAAATACCTCATTACAGCAGGTAGAAGTTGCTCTCCTGGAAAACATTCTCTGCAAAATCGAACAGAGTCAGTCGGAGTTTTACACAGAGTATAGGGTGGACGTTAACTAGGAGGTTTTTGCATCATTTCTCACCTAACAACATCAAGCGTTTTGTGAATTTTTGCTTGTATCGATCCGAGCAAGTCAGTGCCTAATTTATTCAAAAGTCTTGCACACAAAACATAAAGCCAGTCACCGAGATCTTCATTATGAGTAGCTACTAATTCATTTAATGTGTCCAAAAATAAGCTGAAGACTTTTGTGTGAGAATCCATAAACATTTTCGTAAAAATGTCCGTCACTTTGCGCAATTCCGTAGCTGTAAGCGTATTCCCGTTTGAAAGAAAATGTTGCAATCCTACTAAACCTTCCTTCCTATCTCCCCAATGCTTATGCGCACAATTTTCTATAATTTCCTTAATGTCCTGTAAATTAAAGATTTATTTTCTGTAATATGACGAACAGATAGCAGGCAAAAAGATCTTCCTTCATTTCTATTTCGTTTTCTCTTCTGATGAAGGAGTATAGTGTAAGGTTATAGGATATGTATGCAACATATGAATATGAATATTAAATTTAACAAACCTTCGGGATTGATTGATCCCACATATCACGATACAGTCTTTGTTGAGAGCCACTCCATGAGAACGACTAATGGGTAGATGGACGATGGACAGATATGGAGAACAGAACGGCGCATCGCGTTAGTCCAAACCAAACAAATACGCCGCAACAAAACCAAAAGAAAAAACCAGACATGCGTTATCTACATTATTGTAGGATGTTGAAAGCACTGTTTTCTAAGCTTCTTGTCTAACTTTACCTCCAATGTCGAACCAGGAAATAGGACAAGTTTTCGAATAGGAACAAATGAATTCAATGAAACGAAATTTTCACTATTGTATATAACATAAATTTTCACACGAGTATATTATAGTATGATTATCGTGAATTCCATTATGTTTAAAGCATCTTCAAGTCGCACAACAAATAGAAACCCCTAAATAAAGATAATACTACAAGCGCGTGTTTTAATTATACATAAATCAAGGAAGCATTACTTAAATGAACGTGTAATAAAAAAGCGCCATGATGCAGTAATCGTATGAACCATGTTTAGAACATTAATGCAATAGTGATATTTGTTATAACGTCCATGAAATCAATGTATAATGTATTGGAATTCAATTCTGTGCCGTATGTTAAATGAACCAGCAATGCACTCGATCATTTATCTTTTTCATCAGCTTGTATAATGAATAAGAGCATTGCTAAATCATGAAAAATGTTATGGAATATTATTTGCGTTACTTTATTCTCCTACAGTCATCGTGGTGAGATTATCGCTATTCTAATTTCTCACCAAAAGATCTAAATCTGTTCTTTTACTTACATCGTTTGGTCGTCTGAAACTGTCCATACTTCTCTCCGAACATATGCTGCTGGTTTCGCTGTCATCGCTATGGTCACCCTTTCCTCTTGGTGTTCTCGTGTAATTATCAATACTGTCGAACGTGAGCGCATCTGCCAACGCTGATTCTGCTTCACGCGACTGTTGCAACATTTTCTGCGCCATCACCGGTCTGGATTGAGGTCTGTCCGTTGGTGACATGTGTAAACTTCTTCCCCTGTATTCCACAATGTTCTTTACTCGGTCAGAATAGAGATCAAGCTAAAATATCAAGGTAAATGCCATATACCGTATTTTGCTTGCAAAACTCCTATCCATTCCAAACCTTTGTGGGCTAGGCTCACGACTGTTCCCGGTACTTCTGATCCCGTGTCCAGATAATCGTCTAGGTCTTGCAATTAAAGATTCTCCTTCGCGATTATACGTTGCATAACTTAGCCTTGACGATGGTGATCCTGATCTACTGCTAGCTGTTACGTGTAATACACAAATTTACATTGTAAACCTGTCTACTATCCTATTTTCTTAAAAAATGTTGAGAAACTGCTCTCTTTCTTTAAACTTACGTTGAGATTGCGACACTCCAGATACTCTCGTTCTTGTTCTCGCGCTTCTTTCTGGACTAGCAACAGCTGTTGCGTCTGGTGATTTACTAGGGCGTGCTAAACGAATAGATCACACGTGTTACACATTTGAAATACACAACAATAAAGATGATACAGATTTTAATAATTACTACTCACGGAGAGATGCTTTCTGTCTGCTCATGTTCGCGTACATCATTCTCGCTTTAGCTCTTTGTGCAGCTTGCAAATCTATCGCACTGGTAGACCTAACACCTGGTGTTCCACGATCTGGGAAAACGTTTAAAACAGAGTTGTATGATCGGCAAAAAGAAAAATACATATCATTATACAGTGGATGCATTAGTGCATATTCTAAGTCGCGGTGTTCTCTTAAAGCATCAAACGAGAATAACAATTACAATGATTATCAGTGGGTCTTTGGAGTACTGGGATACCAGACTGACGATAAGACCGTGGCAAGGACGGAGTACGTCTGAGCGGGCCATGTGGTTGACCCGAAGTTTGATGCAAATTTTCCGTACTACCTTCATACGTTTAATGCAAAAGGGAGTCACAAAAGCAGCATGAAAAAAAGTGAGAAGTATTTTATATACCGCACTATTTTATCATTTGCGTCTCTGCATTTTTACATCTACACAAGTTCGTATCTATGCAAAATACTAGCTTTTTATAGGTAGTATTAACAAGAAGATATACCTGTTGCGCTCATTGCTGGTCTAGATGTTCTGGGACTAACGCTCGCTGATCTTGTAACTACGTTTAAACTGTTAATGCTACCGCTATTGCTAAGAGACATCAATGAGCGTTTGTATGCGGTATCAAGACTGTTGAGCAATGCTTCTGCTTGTTCCGGAAAATGATCTTTGAATGCCCAGTACGACCTGAAAATATTCAACACGAAATTTACGACCGACACTTTTGTTTTATACACGAATAGAAAATGAATCGTAAGAATAAACGATACTTACTTCCTAGCGAAAACCCTTGCTTCTGAATCGGAGTCTGCAATACCCTTTTTTATTGTGTCTTGTAAGATTGTTACGTGCTTTTGCAATATCTGAGTAGGCCATGTTTGTAAAATTAGGTTTAGATATTCGCAAGATGCTCGACGTATATCTTTACTCTTGTTACTTAAACACGACGTGATAATTGGCACGAAACGACTGCAATGTGTGTTTTGTAGAATAAACCTCACTGCTACGGCACCAGCTGTTGCCACAACCTGAATGTGCAAAATTGTCAACGTTATCACGATTCCCTTTCGGTCAGTATTAATGCTAAGTGATCACGAGTCTCACCTTGGCACTATTTTGTATGAGGTTCATTAACGTGAGTAAGACTGCATCTCCAAAACTAGCGAATTTATTTTTTAACTGTTGACTAAGAAATGCTAAGGTAATACACGCTTCTCTTACCACCTGTGACCTAAGATCAGAGCAAGCTACTTCAAAAGATCTTTGCACGCTTTTCAAGTTTTCTAAAAAATTCTCGTAATTTGTACCACCAGCGATAATGATTGATCTTAATTTTTTCATCTGTAAGATAATTAAATTCATGAGATATATCATTAGTTTAAGTTTATGCACGTATTAGATGATCATTAACCCAACACATACATTTTCTGTCCTTTGCTTCCAGTCTTTCTTATCGTCACCAACATTGTCTCTGATCAATTTCATCTGTTCCTCAAGATCTTTCGGGGAAAACAAATTTATAGATGGCACATCCTCGAACGCTGTAAGAAAGGTTTCCTCGTCGACGGCACCGGCTTGACCTAAATATATTAATTATACGTGTACATCGATATCGACAAATAAATTTTCATGCTAATTCATGGAATAATGTCATTTATAATGCTTATACAAAAGAACATGATATTTCAAAAACTCGATGTTTCTTGCTAAAAGATTTGATTATACATTGGAATTTATTACTTTTACGGGTTGTCAAAAAGAGTTTAATACGTGTTATACGATACCTTATGATTAGTGAACACTTTATACTTTAGAGCATCGTGAAATAAGAGTGACATAAAAAGCAGTGCAATTAAAAATGATTACAGATGTATAGCATTTTGTAGAATTATACGCGCGCGTTAAATGAGATGCAATTGAACCAAGATTAAGCAATATTATGCAAAGGCTTTAAATCAAATGTGCATGATACGTGATGAACATTGATCTGATCAAATTCGAAGAATTTCTCGTTTTTCTTTGTACTTATATCATGATGGGTAGCGTACAGCAAAAAGGGAAGGGAGAAAATACCTGAAAAGCAAGAATTTTTGAAATGAAAAAAAAAAAAAAAAGAAAAGAAAAATACAAAAGTTTGTGCAAAGGCCATCATGATATAGTACAGTATTAGTAGTGCCAATAGAGTTTTAGATACCTGATGTCGATTTTACTGACACGTTTCTTTTGACGGTTGTTGCCCTTGGAACCGTGGAAGGTGTATTACCAGGCTGAGCTGTCATGCAAGCGAATAATTAGCATTCTCGTCATCGAAACGTCAACAGTTTATCGACATTTTGTCGGTACACGGTTGGTGAAATATTATTAATATCATATAAAATGCTGAGCCACAATAAGGAGAAAGCAAGAGTTGTATGTTAGCAGCACGCTTCACACCTGTGCACTTGTAGCAGGAGGAACATGTGCTTCCATAATGTTAATCTTAAGATTCACAACATTCATGTGAAATAATCAGAACACACATTTCAATATATAAATTAAGCACTTGCTTACAGCATAGAAAGCACTCTGTTTTACATATAACATAATAGGTAGAATAGCTAAGAATTTATAACTGAAAATCAACAATTAAATATATCATTAAGAAACCTGAGAACTATCTCAGTAGACTGACTTTTCTACATAAACAACTATACTTGGAAAATAACATAATATATTATGTTTACAGATACAAATTTTACTATGTTTCTATATAGATCATGGGGCTACAAATTAAAGGTTATTTTAGAATACACCTGCTTCATATAAGTATACTGTACCATGCTTAAAATAAAACAGTGAAAAAAAAAGGGACCTATATAGTTACACTTCTTTCTTATTGATTTATACAGAGTTACATAGAACATTGGATCTGTCCAAAACCTGTATATACCTAATGCAGAAGATGGAGTTTTTGCAGGACCAAATTGTCCTCTTTTTGGAGGAATAGCTGACCTTTTCACAGGAGCTGATTTAATCTAAAATATTAAAATTTAATTTATGTTATTTCACACATTCAAACATACAAGTATCTAGTTTAGATTTATTTAAAACTACTACTTACTGCTCTGTCTGGTTCATCAGTGCTTTTCCCAACTGAAAAAGAATATTAAGAAAACATGAGTTTAGAAAAATAGTATTAAAGCATTTTTTTCTCAAGGAAACAATGAAATTATTCACTTATACTATAATGAAGGATTTACTATGATTAGGATCTATTTTTTTCTGGAGAATTTTATATACCTAAGTCTGGATATAGCCATGGTGGTTTATGAATGTCACAATGACATCCTCTTGCTCTAGCACCTGGATGTTTTACAATATTATCCCACTGAAGGATCCATCTACTACTTGGATCCCATAATGCTTTATCAATACTAGGATATTTTTTCAATCCTCTATGCAAGCAGCGATGGCTGCTTGATAACAGCATATCAGTATCATTCATTGTAGAAAAGATACACTTGTTTAACAGAGCACAATCACTAAATTGATACAATTACCATGGAATTTTTTACTGCACAATGCAGATTATACTTCAGCACAGTTTGAAAGAACACCATCACAGCATAAAAAGCCTTCATTCTGACATAGTAATTTCATGCAACCTTCTTGCACCTTTGAAAGTTACAGGATGCTAATCAACATCATACATACTGAGTAATAAGATTTAACAGACTTATTAGCGAAGTATTTTTACAGGAAGAAACTAAAATTCCTCAGATTCACGCTTCCACTCGAGAATACTCAGAACGATCAAAATAATAGACATGTGCATCAGTGAAAGTGATTTGCATTACTCCCCAACGAGCTAGGGAATGTTTCTAATTACCAATTTTTTAATTACCGCCTCGTAATTGCGGAACTCAGGTGCGCATATCTTCTATCGATGAAATCGTTTGTAGGTAAAAAAATTGTTAGAATTCAAGATTAACGAGCGAAAATTCCATCAGATGTCGGAATAGTCTACTTCTGTTTCTCGAACTATCTACATAAGTACGTGTCAACATAAAATATCTCGCGTAACGTAACTGCGACAACAGTTTCTTCTTTTTTCTCTCGCTTCCATCTTAACCAGAGAATATAAGGAAGGAAAACAATCGAACAGTGTCGAAGGAACTACACGTTTAAAAATAAAAAAAGAACCTCAGCCATATTTGAATAGCATCGTGACGTTTCATAACGACTACCGGGTTTTTCATTCAACCGTATAATTATCCTTGGTTACGCAAGATAAAATAAATATTAATAATCAACGAAACGCATAATATCTGCGAAAATCTATTAAAGATCAATCTCTAGAATATCGAGCAAGAGAGTTCAACGCGCTAAGGAGAGAACCTAGATTTGCATTCGTGATATCACTCGTAATAAGCGCGGCAATGAGACACGAGAGAGTCATTTTCTCACGTTACAGATAACGCATCCTCGTTAATGTTTGACTAGTCGAGATTCTTTCGGCGACTTTCCACGTTTCCGTTTTGTGCAAGAATTTTTCCGCCACTTACAATGAAACAATCGACGAGGTGGTTAAAAAAAGAAAAATGAACTGTATGTCCAAGGATCATTGCGTCACGAACGCTCTCTGCGGCATTTACGCGTAATCCATTAGCACACACGTGTACAAGCACGAGCGTGTATTTATGCTTTATTCAAGCGATAATGAAGATTGTACAAAGATCTTCGGTTTATCTCTTGAAAAAATTACCTCTTGTACGATACCGAAGGTCTGTGTATACTAACAGGTTGTATTTTCTAGACGGAGAAAAATCGACCGATACATCGAACGAAGATTCGACGAAAGTGAAATTGTTCGCTCGGCGATCGCGAGAAAGTGCATTAACAATTCCAATAAAGCAATAATTTTCTTTCGGTCTGTTTTTATAATATTTAACGTGCCTAACTTTTTTTTCTTTTACCACACTTGCGTCAATACCGTATCACAAAGTTAAAACAAATAAATCCCCTCGAATGACGTGGTGACAATCCGACAATCTGCTTTCAGTTGAAACAAATCGACGACAAGTTCACGAAGATACGTTGAACGGTATAACAAATCCGTTTCTCGATCTCGAAGCACGTCAGTCACGATGACTATTTTCCAGGACACAATTGTCGATAGCTTCTTCGTCGTTTTTTTTCCCTCTATCTCGCATCCGTTAAGCCAAACGAGCAGAACAAAGGAATCGTCTGTTGTCTTCCACTAAAACAACGGGTACACACTCGATGCAATTCCTTTCCTTGCACGACAACGTTGTTACAATGCTTCCTTATCGCACGGTATCGAACTACCGTCGTGAAAAACCACTAGCCGATAATTCGCATAGAAATGTCACGATCTTGTTCGGACATTCGAACGCGACTGACACGATAGACGCGTCTACGACGATTTAATCATCTTGGCTCGGGTAGACCGGCGCGGGATATCGTTGTATTTCGCGATGCAGCTGTGTCTGATCAGGTAAACAAACGTGCTAAGAGAGAAACTGAAACGGTCGTCCTTGTCCATTGTCCGTGAACGGCAACAGTAGCAACACGTATCGCTTAGAACGCGTCACACTACCGACCCGGGATCGTGTTCGGCCCGTGACACAGAAAAAAAACACGATCAAGATCACCAAGCGGCCCGTCACGATTCTGGACACACATTCGAGACGCATCCGGCGAGAAACTACTTCGAAACCTAGCATATATATCGAGAGACACGAGTCTCTCACGTTGCTAAATGGCGACTCGTTTACGAACTCCCGGTAAGCGCTGCTTACCGCGCGAGCTAAAGTCGGACAAGAGGAAGGGGACACCTTCCCCTATCGGTGCCCCCTTCGTTGGGGGCCAAAACAGGGTACCCACACATCCGAGAACGCATCTCTATGCTACGTTACATACATTAGAAAATATCGATCAATTCTATCAACGATTAACAATTTCGTTAAACGAGGCGTAACGATGTATTCGGTAGCGAGGGGTCGCTATGAAATTCGATACGCAGCCATTTTTAAATATCGAATTTGAGAAGAATGTACTATATACCGACCTAGCGAATTACTCAATTGGTAGAGTAGTATCCTGTAAAACGAAACATCTTACGATTCGTTTCAATTCTCTAATTATCAATCGATTATTTTACAACAACTACTAGTTTCAAGTATAAAAACGAAAGAAATCATCTTTTTAAACGGTAGCTCCTCACGTTTTAATACACAGCTAAGATCGATTTATCGATTGATTTATCACAAACGAGAGAGGTATAATTAAACGTGTGCCGGTAAACAGAAAAGCCTGGTCGACAGGAGCGGACTGACCCGATTGCGAAAATACGGGCAAATTGTCCCGGGACCAGGTGTAAAACAAGTGACTGATTAATGCGGTTCCATTCAATTTGCGGTCGTTTCAGCTTTTCCACGCGCTACCAGAGGATCGACGAAACGAAGAGAACGAGAAAGGGAGGAGGAAAAAGAGTAAACGAAGATTAATGTTCAGCGAGGAAAGAAACGGGTCGTGCAATGAATAAGACAAAATTGTTGCTGTTACCGTACGGTTGAACGTCTAACGGAGAGAACATCAAGTCTCGACTTGGTCCAAAGTTCAACTATTACCACCTGCTGAGTTGATGCAACAAAAGACTCTTTATAATCTACAATTAACACGAGCGGTGGTGCGTCGGGGTATAATTAAATTCGAGATCTACCGCAGCCTGGGAAGGAAAAGTAACAGCATCGCTGTGCAATTACAATGTTTAACTGTAATAAGCAGCGTGTAGTGCCGTCATCGAGAAGTTCTCTCTCTTCGCAACGACGAGAAGAACTTTTAATGCAAACAGGACCGTGAAAAAAAAGGAGGTCCAACCGTACACCTGTGTTAAACACAACACGACGAAGAAATAAACGGTAGGCAGAGAGCGAGCCTACAACCGTAATTACACGTTCCGAATTAAAGATGCAATTAACGTCTGCTTAATACTTTGCTTTGCTCTCGAAAGGGACAAGCTTTAAATCATCCGGCGTTGCGTGCACTCTCGATGATATTGATTCGTATCGTTTGAAAAATGCGACACACACGAATACATTACAGGCAGAAGTTACGGCGATTATTTTGTAGGTCAGAACCAAGATATCTTTAGAACGAATGACAATTTGTGGAAAAAAAAAAAAGGAACGAGCAGTAAACTCGGTCGATTCCAGGCAAGAGTTTTCCCTCAGGGGGCTAAGGATTTATGATTACGTCTTGGTGGCACGACAAGAATATCGGTAATTACGGCCGTCGGTGTAATTAACATTAGAACTGTACGGCGGCGGCGTAGGTTGAGTTATGTCTTATGCGTCGACGAGCCTCGATAGAACTTTACCTTCTTAGAAATTCAGTGCTGATCGAAGGCGCGGAATAAATTATGGATAGAAAACGAGATGCAGTCACGGTAATTTCTTCGGAAATCGTACGTGCAGCGTCTGTCATTCATTGGTGAAAGTAACGTTATTTATTGTTCTTAACGATCGACAAGATACGTCGGTGCTTCCGATTTCCCATCGAAGAAAGCTGAATTAAACGGCGAGAAGAGTAGAGAAGTTAATGTCACGCGCGGTCTTCTCGAGATTCGCATTATTTCCAATGGCAAAAGCAGCGGTTACACGACCGAGGAAAAATGAAAACGCGGATTCCATGGATCAATTACTGAATGTTACCGAGAAGAAGAAGAAGAGGAAGAAGAAGCAGAATCGCCTACGCGAGCAATAAGCTCGATAATGCTATCCTCTCGATTACATAATACAAAGTACACACTGTGTTGTACGTATTATCGCGCGCTACCGTGCCATTTATCGTTCGAGGTGAACGGTGTCGCGGGTCAAGCGAACAATTATTACCCCATTAAGGTAATTTGTCGGTGATTTTCTTTCCCCTTTTCAATTATAACCGATGGAATTACACGTTTTGCTTGATTTCCAGTTGCCGAGAGATCGTTTACACATATACGATACACTTTCTTCACACCGATATTGCCGGTGTTCACAAGAAAGCGTGTACAATGAACGATGAATCTTCCACAGGCATGCTGTTACTTTCAATTTTCTTGCGTTCCAAATGCGCGTAGCAACCATGTGAAGACTACCTGCCTTGTCTCTTAGAATCTAGCTGCTTTTGTCAAATATGTACTCTTAACCGATCGTAGCGAACATAACGCTGTAACAGCCTTACGTTATAATGTCAGCGAGAGAAGCTATGAAAGATAGGAGAGGAGAGGAGAGGAGGAGAGGAGATAAAAAGGGCATCCGTGCGCTATTCCGCGTTTAATATCTGATCATGAGCTCGCAACACACAACACAACACAACACAACACAACGGAACGTGAAACTGTGTGCATGGCTGAAGATAAATCTGCGTTACCACCCTACCTTTCACTTCTCTACCGTGTGCACGTGTACACACGCGTTTCTCCGGCTGTCCTCAGGGTAAGGTCGCACAATAAGAAGGCGAGTTCAAGCCTTCAAACGGTGTGGGTGCTAATTTCGATCGACTCGGTGAAGGGTAGGGTGAATAATCTCTTGTCCCGTGGTAAACCGGTGTTGCAGAAAGTACACCTAAGGAGAGATTCCTATCGTGCCAGGCAAGAGGGGAAAACACCGTTCCTAGACGTGAATAACAGACTAATCAATTAAACGAGCAGTTAAGCCATCTGAATCGAAATTATGAACTGGTTTGAAGTTAAGAAAGAAACACAACAACCCCAGGTTGCCTGCCTCTGTCTCTTGGTGTAAAATAATATATACGACAGGATTGTAAAGCTACGGAGAAATCGGACGGTATAATTGCGATTCAACGTTGAACCTCTAACACAGTCCCCCCGTGGCAGGTCACCGGGAAAGAGAGAGCGAAAACAAGACTTATGCAAATTTTTCGTTGTGCCGTGTTCGCTCAACCTTTCCGTGTCACACACCACGTACAAGGATACTCGTGGCGCTAAAACCTGAGAGCGTATAAAAGCCTGGCAAATTCCGCGTTGCTTGAAAAATGCCCCGGCATTATCATACGACAAGAGTAATTCAAACTCTAGGCGGCAGACGAAAAAATACTTGTCCTAAATACATTCGTTTTTCTAAACAAAAGGCCAGGTTTTTACCAAGTCGTAAAGGAAGGAGAAAAATACGAGTGTTGTTCTATGAAGAAGAAGGCTTCAACGCCGATACAGTGTACAGGAAGTCACGTGGTATGATGATCGATGCTAGTTGTTCATGGTAATTTGGCCTTCTATTAATATACCTGAAATCAAGCGAAGAACCGTAATTTCCCTGCCAAGCCCATGTATGACCTAATCGTGCTCGAACGCTGCGAGTAGAAGAAACGTATTCTCTGTCTTTAACGCAGACGTCTCGTCGCTTGCAAATTTGGCACATCGAATAGAAACAGGTGGTGAATTTTTCTACGAACTGCCGGATGTTTCGCATACCAGGACAACCTGCTATCGTTGCTATCATACTTTCACCACGAGAACTTTGGTAGAACTTTCTTTTTTCCCCAGAAATTACCAACCAACCAAAACTCGTCCTTATCTCGATATCCTAAAAGTAATTCGCAAGGATACGTTAAAAACAGTGTACTGTCTTAAAGGATTACTCAAGCAGGTTATACACAGACCTCTGATTTATCGTTACATAAGAGAAGCATAATGTACCGGCGCATATTTTTTTCTCCAAGGGACAAAGATTGATTATACAATGGAATGCATGTGCGCATCATGAGTCATCAGGAATCTCGGTTTACTCGTGCTTTTTTCCTTTTTTCTCTCTCCCTTCGTATCTATAGGCATCGCGGATTTTTTTTTTTCTTCGACTGTACGCTTCGGAACTAATATGTTAAGTATTCGGTTGCTGGCGACATGTAATATTCGCAATCGAAATTCGAACACCCTGGCAAAGTAGTCTTACAATGTTACAAGGCCGTTCGTTTGAAGCAGGACAGCTTTACTCTGGTATGAATTACAGACAACGTTTGAAACAATACACCGTCGATATTGCATAGTAGACTGTAGCTATCGGTGTATGTAATATTATGTAATATCTTAGAATAGATAAGGCGAATTAGCGATCTCATTGTATTACCCCTGAGGAAATGACACATTACACGACAGACACAACTGCACTCCTCCTCCTCCTCGAGCCACGAGACTTTCCACGAAAAACACGATGTAACGACAGATGCTCTTCGAGCAATTAAAGTATCGCTTGCTCGAGCGATTTTATCGCTTAATAAGGTATTCCACGGTCCACCGTAGAAATTACAATCGGACAACAAAGTAAAAGCCATCGACATTCCTCTCACGAGTCGCCCAGAAAACGTGATCCCTTAATCGTCCTCAGCGTCGTTCTCCTTTGCCTTTTTCTCCACGTTCAACCGTTGATATTACGCCCACATTTGTCAGAGAAATCAATCTCGAGAAACGAGTCATGAGTAAACTGTAAAACTTCTTGGGGGGGAAAAAAAAAGAAAAGAAATCCGCAGACCGGTACAATCGAGAAGCAGAAATCGAGCATAAAACGTGCCAGCGTGGCGTAATTAAATTCAAATTGGCTGTGTTTTACCGTGCTGAGTTAAGTGAATATTCTTATCACGTTGAAGAACAAGCGGTCCTTGCTAAATATTCATCGTGTGTGCCAGCAACGTGGACACGCGGCCGGAGTGAACGAGAGAGGGAGAGAGTGGAAAATGCGAGGGAGGAAAGAACGAAGGTAGGTCTCTTCACGAATGCGAAGGTATTCGCTTCGCGATAGCGTCCATGGCTGCGGGATGGCAGCACGATACAGCTTGAATAATATAACGGAGGTGACGCGCGTGCCAATCACTTTTTATACCTTTCCTTGCTTAATTTATCGGATACCTGCTGAGAAGGAAATTCGATGGGTTTACTCACCGTCCGAAGACATTGCTAGAGGCAGCAGGTCGCCGGAAGCTTTCAGCTGATCGAATTTCTCTATCAACAGCAGTAATCTGCAAACAAACAGTCGAAAATATGAATTCAATACGGAAAAGACCGTATTCCAAATATTACTTAAACGCGAGATTCGATAGAACTTATCGGTTGAATGAACGGTGCTCTCGAGTTAGCCAGAAAAGTAAGCCACGAGAAACACTTGTCTTAACAGATTCGGAAGAAAACCGCTGTACGGTTTCACGTGGGCAGGCCAAAAGCCAAGGAGGATCGATTTCGCTTTTTCACCTACTTTGCTTGCGGTACGTTGTGCTTTCTCTGCAAATCGACGCGTAATCTTTCGCCAACGTGTCTATACATGTCTGCCAACGTGTTCAGAGCGGTCTCTCGTACTTTTTCCGACGGATCGGACAACAGCTTCACGATACTTGGAATCACACCAGAGAGTATCATTTCGTCGGCGCCGTGTCTGCAAAAACGATTCATTAGTAGACTGGAGATGTGTGTATCGACAACTTTTTTCCCATTCTTTTCTACTACAATTTATCGCGGTTTCTTACTCGTTCAACGTCGTAGTCAACAGGATTAAGGCTTCTTCGCGTAACTTGGCATTCTTGTGATTAAAAGCCGGTCGTAATCTGTCCAGTAGCTGTTGAGGAGACATACATCCTTTTTCCATGATTTTCAGCAACAGTAGCTGAGCTTTCTCTCGCGTCGCATCTTTGCTGTCACCTGTCGAATAAACAACATTCGTACTCTTAATTATACACCTCTCGCTATCGGGTCTAACGCAAAGTGTATCGACGTAAAGCAAACAAAACTACGTAAGACCGGTTCTGTGTATATTTATAAAACACCGTCATAATATCTCATCGCATAATATGCGGTTGAACTTCCTTGCTCATTTTATTACGCTTCATCGCGGTGTCGCGTACAATGATTCAACAAGTATATATCGATAAAGTTCGAAGCAAATGAAAGAATATTGAAAACAAGGCGCGAGTAAAAGTGTTTCGAAAGTATTGGAAATGGTTCGAGGAAAAAGAAGTTCACTTAATATTAGAGTTATAATTAATGAACGGTGGTGAAAAAGACAAATAGGTGGAAAGAAAGTTGACAAGAGACACCTACCCAGTCTATCTATTGTCGGCTGAATAATTGTGGAAATATAAGGCTTGAAGTCGTGACCCATTCGATCCGCGAGGAACGCGAGGATTTCTAAACCGTTCTGGACGACCTGGAACAACACAACCAAAAGTATCGTTTAGATCTATGGCATATATCGGGCCCATTATAGCGGAATGATTGTCCCTCTTTCGTTCGCGGCTGAAATCGTTCTAAATCTTCCAACGTCGGCTTTCTAGCCGACCTACCAAGGCAATCGAGGTTCGCCGGGCAATTTGCTGAACATAGAAGACGTTTATACGCGCCGCTGTGACGAGAGATTAATTAACGACTCGAACACGAAACGTGTGCCACGCGGAAAAAACAGTTTTGGTCAGCCAAGTCAGCCAAATCTCACGTGACTTGTGACATTACGAATATATACATATATATATATCGATTAAGGGGAATATTTTTCAATCAACTTTTCCCACGTATCATCGTGTACGTTTTATCAAAGTTTCTTGCACCGCGTTCACGTTGCACCATGGGGTTCAGGAGTATATTGATCCAAGCAAGATAAACTCTGCTTCCCTGAAAGCTGAAAAAAAAAATATCGTAGACCCCTCGGCACTTTCCCTCTCGCTCGGTAATTATGACTTCGTCTGCGCGAGCCCTCCGCGTGCACTCGTAATGATTACTTCACAGCTCGTGTGTGTGTACGCGTTTTCTTTTTTCTACCTCTGAGCTTTCATCGAAACATAATTGCGGAGGTTTGAGCGAATTACACGCATTCCGACCTGGTGGTTACACCGCGAAATCAATAAGGGGAAATTCAGTGGCTTGTAAAACGTGTACGCCCTCAACGAACCGAGGAAAGATTTATAATTTCTTGTGAACGTTCGCTGGTTTTTACCTCTTGTACACCGTACTCTTGTGTACCGCAACTTTTTAAGTACCCAAGATTCTTTTTTTTCTTTTTAGTTTTTACGCTTCTTTTATCGTCTGTCCGATGTGTTTCACATTATGTATTCCGCTATTTGGTTTTAATTCTCTCGAGGATTGAGGCTGCTTTTCTTATTTTTTTTTACCGCTTCTTCTATTTCTCCGAGTGCTGGAATTATTTCTCTCGGTTCTGGAATTTTTAGAGTGATTATGGTAGTCGAAACATCGACGTGGGGGTAGAAAATTTGTAGAAAACGTTTGAAAGAGAGACTTGGAGATTTTAGGAGGAAGAAATGTAATTGAAGTCGCACGTAATAAGTACCCAAGATTAATTTTTTTATTTTGTACGCTTCTTTTTATCTGTTCGACGCGCTTCGCATTATTTTGCAATTCGATTTTAGTTCTATTAAGGATTGAAGCTCTTTTTCTTATTTCTTTACCTCTCTGAATGTTGGAACTGTTTCTCTCAGTTCTAGTGGATGTAGAAAATTTGCAGAAAACGTTTGAAAAGAGAGACTTCGAGACTTGAGGAAGAAGAAATGCAACTGAACTCGTACAATACTCTCTGTACGAGCATAATGCATACCGTAACACTTAAGAACAGTAGTTTAACTGTAGATCGCAAATAGCAAATTGCAAGAGAGCTATTTCTTAAAACGTATAAGTGAATCGGTGTGACGTGTCTACTCGTTCTATGAATTGCTTAATTTTTTCTACGATAGAAGTATGTTGAAAAATGAGGGAGAAGATGTGATTCATAGCGTAGAGGGAATGTCGAGCATCGGAGGAAGAACCAGGGATTCGAGGGTGAACGAACTGCTCCTCCGGGAGGAGGACGAGCGGCCAGATCAATATAGAAAGTGCAAGTGTAGCGTTCGGTGCATTTATCGTGGTCGAACCCCTCAAAGCAACCTCGTCGTAGCTGTCTTTAGATGGTAACGAGAGGACCAAATGAATATTCCCGAGTAGAGATGGTGGCTGGTTCGATCGACGATCAGCATTGGGAATATCCATGTCTCAAGTGCACCAACGAGAAATCCAATGTCATTGTCTGCAAAACCGTCCATTACTCTGCTACCACAGTTTAAATACATTTAACGGACCGCTATACATAGGCATATAAACCTATTTTAGTGTCGCGGGGTAAACGTTCTCTCAGGGCTGTCGTCTGGCTGTGACATCATCGCTCAACACCGAGGCTTTTCGTTTCTCTTTCTGCCTCAACTTTCATATAATTAGCACACGGTCTAATCATTAACAGCCCGCTCAGTCGTCGGCTCAAGCGTAATCTCTCGCGTTAGATATTGCACTGCTATCAACTTAACTCGTTTTACAATTGCAGCTGGGATATGCTAGAAACGACGAATGACTCGATACGACAGGGTAACTTTCAACGAAGAAAGCTGATAAGGTGGATGAAAGTGGGAATATTCCTCGAGTATCAACGCACCTTGAACTTTATCTCGCGGAGCCAAAGCTACTTGGACATTTTCGCCGACTCGACGTGAAAAGTGTAGAAAAAGGAATTCTTAAAAAATTGTCATTCAGTCTGTGCACGTCAGCAGAGAAGAGCTGACTATCACCAGGTCCAATGCACCTTGAACTTTATCCGAGGAATCTGGGTTCTGAAAGGACTGCCGGGTC